GAAATAGACTTGACTTTGAATGGTGAGCACAGAATACAGTCTACAAGGGATGTGTTATAGAATTGTACTCTTGAAACCTGTATAATTTTATTAACCAATGTCACCCTGATAAATTCAATAAAAATAAATAAAATAAAGGTCATGTGTGGCCAAGAGTCACAAAAGATTTAGAAGAGGGATCTGGGAGCTAAGCGAGCACTCTTGGTCTGTTGGTGGGAGGGCTGGCACTTGGTGGCTGTGAGGTGAGAGGCTCAAGGTCAGTCCAGTAAAAAGAGTCCTGGTGGCGGAGATGAGGCCAGACCGACAGGCCTCACGTCCATACCTCAGCTAAGAGCCGCGGTCCTACTTGTCCCCAGGGCCGAAGCCTAGATCTTAGCTGCCCCACGTGTGCTGTCCCGGAATGAGATTTCGAGGTTTACTTACCTGAGATCCATGGATGAGCAAACCCCCCCGCCCACACACACACACACACACACACACACACACAAAACAAACAAACAAAAAAACAACAACACATAGTCATTGGAAACAGCGGCTGCCTAGACCAAGGCCAATGGGGACCTGGCCGAGTGTGCCCGGCCCCAGATGGAGGGGCGGCAGAGAACAGCCCAGAGCCTGCTGCTGCCTCCTGGCCATGTGACCTTGGCCAGCTCCTTAAGCTTTCTATTCCTGTGTCTCCCGCTGGAAATGGGTCGGTAATCATCCTACCTAAGATGGTTGTAAAGCATCTTAAATGAGTTCATGTGCTTTATAATAGTGCCTGGCACGTAGGGAGAGCTGTATGCGTAAACATTTGATAAAAAATTAAATTAAATTTTAAAATGTGTGGAAGGGCCTTCTGCTTTTCCACATATGGAATCTTACGGTATCCCGTAAAGTAGGGGGAAATGTAGGGTTTTCATGGATACTGCATTCCTTGTTCATCTTGGAATCCTCCAGACCTGACTCAGAGCAGGCCCCCTAACAGGTGTTGGTGGGAAGGAAGGAAGAGAGATGAGTGAGTGTGGAGGATGAAAAGGGAGAGTAATTAATGTGCAGGTCACTTTAAGAGGAATCAAAGTCTCCTTCTCTAAAAGGAGGGAAAAGACCCTCCATGAGAAACAGAGGGTAGAGGTTTTAAGTCACAGTGACCAGGAAGTAATTCCCATTACCAACCGGCTTTTGCCTCTCTTCACCAGACACCAGATGACCATGAAGCAGAGACGGGGATTAAGTCAAAAGAAGCAAGAAAGTACATTTTCAACTGTTTAGATGACATGGCCCAGGTAAGCTCCGTGGGCGAGATGCAATGTCAGCCCTTAAAAGCCAAGCACAGCAAGGCTTCTGCAAGAGCGATAGAGGGCGGTGAGTAGAAATCCACATTACTCAGCTGCCGTGGTTGACCTTGACCTCGTGACCTGCCAGCCTGAGTAAGAATAGCAGTGGGTTTGTGGGACATCGTTAAAGCCTTACACCAGCTCTTGAAAAATAGCTTCAGTTTATTGGTTCCCATTTGCGAAATAGTCCTGGCCAATCTCACTGACGTTTTCATGAGAAGAATTTAAGCCCATTAGTACATTTGAGCTTAATGCCCTTGACTCAGTGTTAGTTCCTAAGGGCTGCCGTAACAAGGTACCACAAACTGGGGGACTTAAGACAACGGGCATTTGTTCTCTAGAAGCTAGAAGTTTCAAATCAAAGCACCAACTGGCCGTGCTCCCTCGAAAGGCTCTGGGAAGGAACTGGCCCATGCCTCTCTGCTGGCTTCTGGTGGCCCCTGGGTGGAGCCAGTGTCCCCGCATCCCCAATCTCTGTCTCCTTCTTCATATGGCTTCATCCTGTGTTTCCTTGGGTCTCTGCATCTAAATCTCCCTCTTCTTTATCTTATGAAGACACCAGTCATTGGACTTAAGGCCCACCCTCTTCCAGTTTGGCCTCATTTTAACTGGATCACATCTGCAAAGACTCTATTTCCAAATAAGGTCACATTCACAGGTGCCGGGCATTAGGGCTTAAACGTTCTTTTGCAAGGACACACTCCATGCTTCACACTCAGTCTCTCTCAGCTCACTGGAGGGGCCATGGGCTCTCACTTTTGTGCCCAGAGAAAGTGCTAGAACTTCAGCTATCTTTAGTGTAAAGACTAGTCTCAAATCAGGGCAACCCAAAGTGAATTTTTCTTAAAAGCAATGAGAAGTAAAGCTAGAGATCAATAAACATTCAGCACCCCTCTTACGGAAGACAAGTGTAACCCAAAATCATGACGCCGCGTAGAGTATCCTTGTCAGTTGATTAGAAGCTTAGATTGTCTTAGAAAACAAATTGCTTCCCAGAGCATGTCTTGGAAAACGTAGAAAGCACCACAAAACAAGTCTCTTAAAGGCTATGCTGGTAGAGACTTGATCTGGGAGGGAAAATCCTGTGCAAACACCCTGCTTGTCTGGCAGAGGTGACCCAGCGAACTCAGGGACTGAAATGATCCGGCCCGAACTCAGGGAGCTACAGAGGACGACACACTGTAGATGTAGGGGGAGGGCACTTAGGCCCCAGCATTTCCCTCCAAAGGTTAAATACATAAACCTTTTGCATCTTATGTTGTACTGCTTGGTTGTTTTTAATTGTGGTAAAAACAACATAGCACAAAATTTACCATTTCAGCATTTTCAACTGTACAGTTCAGTCGTATTACGTTCATTTACGCTGTTCCACAACCAATCTTCAGAGTCTTTTCATCTTGTGGCTCTTTTCCATGAGGTGTGATGTGAGGCGCATTTCGATTTAACTGATTATAGCAAGAGGGTGCACATCCTGTCACTTATGTATGTCGCAGGTACCGGCAGTGACCGCCCCTTCCCCATGCATGGCCTCCCTCTGCCTTTCCTGCAGAGAGCCCTGCCACATCCTGTGGGTGGCAGTGATATGTGGCAGTGCCTTCAAAGGGCAGACACCGCCCTGCAGGAATTGAGAAGGGCGACTGAGAGATCGGATGGAGTTGCAGAGCAGAAAGGAGTCGAGGAGGCACAGCGGGGTCCTGGTAACCTGTCCTCCTTGCTTCCAGGTGAACATGACCACAGACTTGGAAGGGAGTGACATGCTGGTGGAAAAGGCAGACCGGCGGGAGTTCATCGACCTGTTGAAGAAGATGCTGACCATCGATGCTGATAAGAGAATCACTCCAATCGAAACCCTGAACCACCCCTTTGTCACCATGACACACTTACTCGACTTTCCCCATAGCACACAGTAGGTGTCCTGCTCCGTGCTCTATACAAGGGCTCAGCAACTTTTTCTTTAAAGCCCCAGAGTGAATGTTTTAGGCTTTGCAGCCAAGTGCTCTCTGTTGCAATCAGCTCTGCCATTGTAGCTGAAAGCAGATGCAGACAAGACATAAACAAATGAGTGGGGCTGCGTCCCAGTAAAACATTATTATAAAAACAGGTGGCGGAGCCTCGGCAAGTCCAGGGCTGGGCGGGCCGGACTCTGGGTGTCTGTGCTTGGAGGGAAATGCTCAGAAAGGCAGGGTTCACAAAGCAAAGCCACTCTTAGTGCCAGAGGTCACTCCCAGACCCTTCTGGAAAGGACTCTGTCTAGTTTGGATTTGGGTTCATTCATTCCTTCATTCATTCAACGTGCTGTGTGCTGTGCCAGCTGCTGGGGTACAGTGGGGGGCAGAGCAGATGGGTCCCCTTCCCAGTCTAGGGGAGAGAAAGGTACAAAACTAGTGATGCCCAAATAACCAGGCTGATATCAGGGCAAATATAAGGTGTGATGAGACCAAGTGACAAGGGAGCCTCACTTGGGACAGGGCAGGAAGTGAGTGCAGAAGGATGAGTGAGAGGTAACTGATGGAAGGCTGGCGAGGGCAGAAAGGGTATTGCTTGTGGGGACAGTCACCATGGACAGGACCAAGCCCAAGAGCTGGGGGACAGTGGGAGAGCTGAGGCCCCAGGACCAGACAGGACGAGCCTTCCTTGTACAGGATTTTGGTCTTGATCCTAAGAGCAATGGGGAGTCGTTGAAGGACCTGTAGAAGGAACTGGCTGGTTAGAGTGTCAAGTCCATGAGCCCTGAAGACATGGCCATCACAGTGGCAGCTTGGAAGCTGTTGGTGACTTAGAGCTGTTTCAGTGAATGATAGAAGCAGAAACCAGCTTTGTCTGTTGAAAGCCTGAGTGAGAGGTGAAGAATAGATAGGATCCTTTCAAGAAGGGAGACTGTGAAAGGGGTGGGAAGAAATGGAGGGGTCCCTGGGGAGGGCCCAAGGGGACTTTAGGAAGAGACTTTGAGCAATTGAAAATGCTGATTGGAAGTATCTGGTACTAAGTGAGAAACTAAAGATAAAAGATGCTCAGAAGAGAAGTTTTCTGAGATGGTGGAAGGGGCTGGGACTCAGAGCACAGGTGGAGGACTAGACCAGTGTCACCGTGGATGAAGGAGGGCGCAGACGTTGGCTGGAGTGCTGGGTTAGCAGAGGAAAGTTGAGGGAGCTCTTCAGACCGTTGTCTTCTCTTGTTGAGAACAAGGTGTTTAGGTAGTTGGAGCAGAAGGTGGCAGAGAAAATTGAACAGAGAAATACAGTGGAATTGTTGAGCATGGAGGTTGGACATGAAGAATAGGATGTAACTGAGCTCCCCAGGGGAAGGCATGGAGAAAAGAGAGGGTTGGGTTCATCCAGGTTGGAGTTTTGTCAGGCTACTAAGAGAAAGAGAGATTGACAGACTCATGATGTTGGAATAGAGCATTGTAATCCCAATGGATGGCTACGGGACCTTAGCTGAAAAGGAAAGGAAAGGAAGATGAGGAGGTCCAGAGACACTGAACAGTCTAATCGACTCAGATGAGCCAGATGGGTGACAATGTGGCTGGGGGGCGGGGTACTTGAATGTGTGGCCTGGAGGAGTGGAGCAGTATCAGGTTTGAGAGTCCAAAGAACCCACAGCCGGCACTGAGCCCCGGGTGAGACGTAACTGAGAAGCCAGGGTGTCCGGCAGGTAATCTGTGTGTCCCTTGAAGAGTCCCTCGGTGGCAGGGCACGTGTTAGGTGGAAGACTGGGTCGGAGGCACAGGCCCGGTGAGTGAGGGCGAGAGAAAAGGCCGTGGCAAGAGAATGGGAGACAGTACTGGTTTTCAGAGTCTGCATAACAAATACCACTGAGGGGCCGAGGGGCTTAAAAAGCAGAAATTTGTTTTCTTACAATTCTAGAAGTCCAAGATCAAGGGGTTTGGCAGAGCTGGATTCTTCTAAGGCCTCTCTCCTTGGCTTGTAGATGGCTGTCTCCTCCCTGTGTTCTCACATGGTCTTCCTTCCTCCTCAATATGAACTAGACTAGGGCCCACCCGACTGACCCCATTTTACCTCTTTAAACATCCCATCTCCAAATTCAGTCACATTCTCAAGTACAGGGGTTAGGACTTTAACATATGAATTTGGGGGGAAGGGCACAGTTCAATTCATAACACAGGGTAACCAGGGATATCACTTCAGCCACTCAACCCAGAGGTATGTGGGATGAAAGTCACATCCCTGGACGTCTGCAGGGAGAAGCAGTGTGCTCACAGCGCCGGCTGAGAGAGGCTCAGAGGAAAGGGGAAATGTGTGAGAAGAGGCTGGGGAAGAGAGACATTCGCAGATCATGGTTGACCTGCCATGACAAGACTCATATTGGGCTGAACCTCAGGCTGGACTCGACCTTAGCCAGCCTACAAGAGGTGACTGGTGGCGCCCGCCACAGACGGCACATCCTCTAGTTTCAATTCTGTTCTTTATCAGTTGATGTTAAGCAAGTCAAATCTCATTACAACAAACAGTGAGTCTTTAATTTAGAACCATGTTTGAAACAACCGAACTCCAGCACAAAGAAAGAACCTGGACCCATCCCTTGCAGACTCTTGTTACGGTATTTGTCCTGTCTCTGGGTGTAGTAGGAGTGCCTCAGGGGGGTGTCATTTGGTCCCACAGAGGGAAGCCAGACTTGGTGATTTACTGAATCAGCCCCCAAAAGATCACTTTATATTCAGGGGTGAAGTGGGGTGACTGAGAAAGAGCTATGGATAGGAGACGGAGGGGTGCTCTCCAGAGGGTTCGCATTAGCCATCTGTCAGTGAGACAATCACCCACATAAAGTCAGAGTCACGGCTGCATGACCCCAGGGTCCTGTCCCTCTCTGGGTTCCGTGAGGAAGCAGCACTAGTGCTTCACTGTACTTGGTGAAGACCAAGCGGGGAGACCACGAACATCAGCTTCAAATTCAGAACTCGGTGTGGGTCCCCAGAGGACCACTGACAATTTATAACTCAGAAAATGGGCCTCAGAAGGAAAAGCAGGTCTTTGAGCACACCGAGGCTCCCTGAGAGTAGGCCTAATTCCTAAGGGCCCCTAGAGCTAGCTGAGAAGACCAGGAGAACTCCAGGGCAAGAAGAACCCTCCAGGCCCACCATGCTGTAGACCCCACCTTGGGGACTGGGCCAGAGCTGCCCCAACATCTAGACTGAGAAGTGAAAGAGACCCCCCCATTTCTCCATACCAGGATTCTAGTGCACAAGTTCCTTAAAAACGAGTCTCATAGAAGTAACCCAAAGTGCAACTGCCAGGCCATTTCAGTTAGAAAATTCTGAGTCTAAAAGCTTTTGGTTGAATTGTCACAAAATTATTGAGTGCTTTCCATACGTTCCAAAGGGAATATAAAACCTATATTTTTATTCCTTCAGCCTCTATAGGAAAGCACTTAGCAGTGTGTTTGGTACTTAGCAGATGCTCAGAACATGCTGGCCTTACCAGCATTATTAGTTTTTTTAGCTATTGGTTACTGTAGGACGCATTTTCCTTTCTCTCCAGGGTCTGCAGTCAGTAAATGATTTTGTGTGCATTGTGTGGCCAATGTAAGTAATTTTTAACTCTGAAAGAAAGAAGTCTCTGGTATGTCTAAGACAGTTTGGAGCATCTTTTATGGGAAGGATGTTTTGGGGTGGCCCACAAGCACCTGCTTGGCCCAAAACATAGCTTACCTATAGAATGCAGAAATAGTATTACCTTTGTAATCTTAAAATAGTATAAAATTATCATATTTATATTCAGTTATTACATTATAATTAAATAAGTATTTAAAACTGAACTTTAAATGCTGTTTTATTTTGAATATTAGCATTTGAGGAAAAGTAAGTTTAATTAGAAGAAGACACAAACTGAGAAACAAGGTATAAGTTCTGAAGGACACTTTATGGTGGACTTTCACGAACTTGGTTGCACTTATATTTCAAGAGGATGTATATGTATATGTATATGTATATGTATATGTATATGTATATGTATATGTATATGTATATGTATATGTATATGTTAAGATTGCCAGTAATTAGCTCTTGACCTTGGCAGATTACCTGTCCTCTCTAAACCTCATCTTTACTCCTAAAATAGGGGCATCGCTTATCTCTCCTTCTCGTGGTTGTTGTAGGACTGAGTGCAAGAATCTTGCACACAACTACCATAGCTCTCTGTCACTGTCAGCCATTATTACTAATTATTAATATCATTACAGTTCTCGTTACATGCCCAATTCCGGTGCGGAGAAAGTGGGTAACAGGGTCATGATACTGGGTTGGCCAGTTCCTTGGCTGTCCCCTAGATGGCGCTAGTGCCCCAGACTCGCTGGGAAGGATTAGCGCAAGGAGTTGTCTTTGTGGAAGGTGGCAGCAGGTCATGCATGAGAACTTAAGCGTTTGTTTATGGGCCAGAAAGCATACTGGAAGCTGAGAAAGAGCAGGGAAGGTGGAGACAGATCAGCGATATGAGGAAAATGCAGTGAGAGCCATCAGGTCTGTTGTGCTGTGGAAAACCGTTACCTGTGCAGGCTGGGGAGAACAGGCAGTAAGACAGGGTGAAACTTACCTAAATAACGTTAACTGTACAAACGCAGACTTTACATGAGGATCCAGGAAATTTAGGCCTAAAGTTTCCCCACTTGTCTTGTTTACTAGATTAACTGTTCTCTGGTTTTCTCTTGCTATTTTCTCCCCTTTATCCCATGCT